TAAGATAGTTTCACGAAGACAAGTGTCATTGACGCACGATGTTATCGTTGATATCGTTGGCATTGTTGAATTCTTCACTTTGTTTCAGTCTTTATATATTTTTTTTTTGTAGGAAAATTTTATAGATTTTATCACATTGTAGATTGCATCATTAGAGATATAAAGTAGAAATTAGAAGTGTGAATTTATTGAAATTTGTCTCACGGAATATCAAAATATTTTGAGAATCTGGAAAATATTGAGATATTTGAGAATGCATTTAGATTTCTTATAATATTGAAAAATATAGGAATTTTCAAAAATATTGGAATTTCTTAGGATTAGGATTTTTCTCATAGAACTAAAATTAAGATTCAAAAAATGAAAAGTATCGAGATTTTTTTTTTAAATATACAAATTTTCAAGAATATTGAAAATTTATATTACGTCGAGATCCTCAAAAGGAATACAATTTTCGATTTTCGATTTTCGAGACGTTTTCAAAATTATTGAGACATCCTCAATAATATGATATTCAATGAAAATATTTTTGCAATTGATTCGATAACTATATATCACTTTTTATGTAAGCAACTTTTTATATTTTTCATTATAAAATTTATATCTAATTTCTTATATCGATAAGATAATTTTCTTTTCATACATTTTTTATATCGTACAAGCATTCGAGCTACCATTTATTTAAACTATAAAGAATTCTAATTATTTAAATGTATATTACTTAAATTAATATTTATTGCAAAATGTAAGCATTTAAAATTTATATTGTCGTGTGAATAAATGTTTTAAAGTAGAAATAATAAATCAGTTATTTCTAACTTTTTTAAACATTGGATTCATTGATAATCTTTTAATTACATATATTTATCTATTTTTATTATTATTATCAAAAATGATTAGAAACTGATGATGATTTTAAATTCAAGGAAAATTATTTCGATAAAGAAGAAACATTTTATTAGAAACAACGACCTCTACATTCATATATATACATTCATACTTACATATTTGTCACATAGCTTCGTAGACCGTTTCGAAATGCCGATTCACCGATCATGTGAGAGAGCATGCGAATCACAGAAGCGCCTGAAACAAATGCATCGATTAATTCTAAAATTTATCATCGCATTATTTCTTTATAATTTTTTGAAATTAATCAGTTCTAATAACACAACAATATCAACTTTTATTGTTTTCATTCCCTCTCTAAAAGTAGAAATTAGAAAGAAGTGTGAATTCATTGAAATTTGTCTCACGAAATATCAAAATATTTTGAGAATCTGGAAAATATTGAGATATTTGAGAATGTATTTAGATTTTTTATAACATTGGAAAATATACGAATTTTCAAAAATATTGGAATTTCTTAGGATTAGAATTTTTCTCATAGAACTAAAATTAAGATTCAAAAAACGAAAAGTATCGATCAATCCCTTAAAAGTTTCATTCACAACATTCTGTGTAATTATATATTATATCAAACAAATATAATCTAAAACAAAATCTAAATATTATTTCAATGTGTAAAAAACATGTTTATAATTCATTATATAATTAAACAAAAAATAATACAATAATATAAAACAACAACCAAAGTCTCTCTCTCAAAGTCTCTCAAAGTCTGGTCCTTAACAAGAAAATTTCGTCTTTACATTTAAAAGAGCACGAGGCGCGTCGAAAAATTTCATTTCGAAGAAAAAGCTCGAGCGAACCTTTCTTGTACGAGACAAAATCCAACACCGCCATAATGCTGCCAGGGCTTCCAACGTTTCGCCCGTTCATTATCCTGCTATGATTCCCCGAATCCAGCAGCAACGCTGGCTGCACCACGTCCACCACGAATTTCTCCATCATCCCCCACGAAGGCTCGACCATCGACACTGCAAAATATTGAAAATAGGAAGCGAATCCCTCTTTCAGCCAAGCGACGTCCCAGAACACTGGCGTGACGAGATTCCCGAACCAGGTGTGCGCGTATTCGTGGGCCATGGTGGCGATTCCATCGATCATGTACCTCGTAGGCGTTATCCCATCCTCGTACAACACCACCGACTCCCTGTAAGTGATCATACCCCAATTTTCCATCGCGTGGAAGTTGAAATCCGGAACCGCGAACTGATCCATCTTCGGTATTGGATCCTCGATCGAGATCCAATTTTTCAGGGACGAGTATATCGATTCACCGTAATTCAGAGCAGTCGCCCCCCGATTTTTCATCGATCCTCGCGTCCACATTCGAAAGGTTTGCGAGGAGTTTGCCGAAGAGACGAAGTCGTGAAGGGCCCAGCCCAGTTGATACGTGGACATTCGTGGAGTTGGCTCGAATCCATATTCGTTCCTAATTTTCACAATGCGGAGGTTAGAAAGTGTGAAAGTAAGAAAGAAGATTCGAGATTCGATTTCGTGATAATTCTTTCTTTATAATCATTCGTGAAGTAAGTTGAAAACAACTTACAAATTTAATGGTAAGAAGAGTGAGACTGGTTAATTTAAAGTTTCCAGGAATATACTTGTAAAGAATCTGTCTTAGATTGAGAACTAGTTTCGTATAAGTGATGGGCAAAATTTAATAGTTGAATAAAGCGACTTTTATAATTTATTGTTCAGTAATAATAATTCCAAATAATCGTAATAATAAACTAAAATAATAAATATCTACGAATAAACGTTATTTAAGCATTTTAATAAATAATTACTCGATGTAACTTTATTCGAATTTAGGAGTTGAGTTAAGAAAAAGAATCGATCAGAGATGAGAAAATCAAGAAAATGAGAAATAATGATTTATAAAAAGAAGAAAAAGTATAAAGAAATATATATATACCACGAATTCCTGTTTTTAACTCTAGTGTTACTCGTCGCTGTCTTCTCGTAGACATTAATAGTCAACGAGAAAACCGCTTTCAAATGCGGCTCGTCCATGCATGGAAACGCTCGTCTCGCATAAGTCGGCGAGAATTGAGTAACCGCCATCCATCTAGAAAAATTCGTATCCTTGAAACAAACGTTTTCGTTTTCAAAAAAATTAAATCCACTCGATATACTTCGTCTCGTTATTTTCAACGTAAAAACTCCTATAAAATCCGAATACGTCGTCGCGTATTTCACCCTCGAATCGAATTCGTAGCACGTATTCAACGCCCGGCTCCAACGTTTCTTCGACTTTCACGATGTAAAATTGCCTTTCCGGGTCGTGATATTGGCAAAGGATCGGTTCGAAGAACGTGGACGAATCGTTCGTAGCTCGATAAAGATTCACGTCTTCCTCTATGATACGTAAACCATCGGTGTGCACCACAACGGTGTTGGTCGGTTCAAGAACATTCACAAATATCCTCACGGATCCTGAATACGTGAAATTTGTTCGATCCTTGTCCAGATGGACGATGTAACTGGTCGGGACCACCTCTTTCGGAAGTCTGTACGACAAGTGATCGCTACCATTTTTCCACACATCTTTTTTGTCCAATAACGGATTATGGGGGCACACGTTGTACGATGTTGCAAACTCGAGCACGGCGATCGAACACGCAACGACGAAAAATCGTAACTCGCGCATCATGGTGTTAAAGAAAGCGTGTTTGCGCGTTCTTAATAGATGTCACTTTTTCCAACGATCGTATCACTAATCGAATCACGAGCAACCGTTCGCTCGCGAAGTTTATCTTCGATTCTTCTAAGGCTTTGTGATAACGATTCGCAATCGTATATCCAATCTTGTCTTAGCCCACTTACTTACTTTTGAAGGACTGTCGATGCGTGAAAGTGAAATCGTCCGTGAGCCAATTTTTAAATCGGCTTGAATCATCGTTCCTTCCTATTAACTACTTCGAAAAATTTAAGGATATTCTTGATTCTTGAAGGATTAATCACATTTCTTTATTGTTGTTGTTAAAGGATCGCGACAGGATATTTATTTGAAGGATCGAAATAAGGGTAAGAAATGTTGGTTGTGATCGATTTATTGAGTTATAAAGCAGTTTCTTTTCTTTATTTTTTTTTTTTTTGTTATTATGCAAGGGATGAAGAAACAGCAATAATAACGGCGAAAAGTGTTTCAATAAAGTATGTTTCTGTTTTTTTCCTTTTTTTCTTTTTTTTCTTTTTTATTCTGAGCAAAGTACAAAACACGCGTTCAGCTTAAAATCTAACGCTTCATCAATCGTTTTCACAAATTCATCGTGGCATAGCTCGTAATAATAATAATAATAGTAATAATAATAATAATAATAATAATAATAATAATAATAATAATAATAATAATAATTTAATTAAGGCAACTCTTTCGTAATTCTACGCGTTAATCATCTTTGAATATATTACTATTCACCACCCGATATTCGTAAAGCTTTAATTTCCATTACATGCCATACTCGTTATAATAATACGATTTCTACACGCTCGTTCCCGCGAATAATAAAAAATGGATCCGAAGATCGTTCGGAATTTTTGAATAAGAAACTACTCCGACTAGACAAGCAAGCGATTCTTTTTTATCCTTTTCCTTTTCTTCAAAAGCGAAATGCATTCGTTTTTTTTTCTTTTTCTTTAATTTTTTTTTAAATTACAAATGTTGCGTGCTATTTACAAAATCCTCCCCTCCCCCCTACATGTCTCCGATATAATAAATTAATACCTTAAAGGATATACGTTCTATCGAGTGATCACGAATCTCGATTAATCGTCTCAAAAAAAAAAAAAAAAAAAAAAAAAAAAATGGAAAAGCAAAGAGATGACGATAAATCTTGTACAATACACTTTTGTTGTTGTTGTTTACAACATTAGAATTACCAAACCTGGTCACAGATTTTGCGTTATTTTAAAATTATTAAAATTGTGCAGATTGTTGTGTCGATTAAAATTATATATCGATCTTGGAACAAAAATATAATTACATGCGTATATCTAATTATTTTTATAAAATTACTTTTAAATCCTAATCATTTATACGTAATATATTTAGGTATGTTTATATTATAGTTTGGTAGTCCTAGTGTTAAGAGAAAAACGAAGAAATGAACGAAGGTTGATAAATAATATACGATGGATGGAAGAACGATAAAATGCAAAAATATCGTAAATCAAGGTTATTCCTCTTGAATATATATCCATATAACGTTCGTGATTTTAATCATCAGTTTCCCCTCTTCCCCCTCCCCTATTGAAGAATCCTCTTCGATACAAGGCATAAAATATATATCGCATATACTTATATCACTATTTAAATTATCGAGAAGATTATTTGCATTATAATTTATTGCTTTCAACGTTATGTATTATATTAATAATTCATAATACGAAATGTTACCAAGGTCTTCGATTGCGTAATATTTTTTAATAAAATTTCAACGAATCGGTGATATTTTTTAAACTCGATTCCATGCAAATCTGTTCAACTTTGCTACTTCCGCATCAATGAAGCAATCCAATACTGTATAATACTACTGCGACTTTGTGGTAATGCATCTTAATTATTGTCCTTTTCTAGTTCATCCAGTAAAGGAATATCTAATCAAACGAACGTGATTGTCATCTATTGCATTAGGCCAATGCAAAAGTTTATTCGTTTCGCGATGATTTTTATTGCAATTAAATAATTTTGATCAATGTGAATATGAATACGTTCAGTAAACAATTAAATATAAAAAAAATTGAAACGTACTTTTAATTTTACTTTAAATTATTTAAGTTTAAAAAAAAAAAAGATGAACTTTTACGTGAATCTAATATTAAGTTCAACGTTATTTCTATGTCTTCAGTCATAGTTTTGAATCGTATCCGTAAGAAAATTTCCACTATGTTATTAGTTATTGAGGACCAGACACATTTTTCCAGTAAAAAATTTAAGAAGAGACTTACTTAAGAATATTTTAACTTTGAAAAACGATCCAAAGAAATTTGAAATCCAGAATTATCCACATAGGTAGACACCTACATCCTCTTTCATAAAATCTTTTCATAGCATCCCCCAATTAAAAATTACAATTCGAAATAAAATTAAGAAAAGACTTACTCAAAAATATCTAACTTCGAAAAACGATCCAAAGAAATTTGAAATCCAGAATCATCCCTTTCCACATAAGTAGACACCTAATCCTCTTTCATAAAATCTTTCCCTACACCTAGCATCTCCCAATTAAAATTAAAAAAAATTACAATTCGGAATAAAATTAAGAAAAGACTTACTCAAAAATATCTAACTTCGAAAAACGAATCCAAAGAAATTTAAAATCCAGAATCATCCCTTTCCACGTAAATGAAAGATAATCCCTTTTTCACAAAATCTTTTCCTAGCATCCCCCAATTAAAAATTACGCAACTACTTATCCCCCGCGAAAAGATAATCGAAAGGAAAGAAACGATAGAGAATCCGGTCCCCGGATACAATAACCGAGACGCACGATCATTGGAATGGCAGAGGGATGATCACAGAGCGGTTTCCAACGTCGGCACGCTGGGGCTACGCGCCACGCTCTGCATCGAGGTATTCTGAGGGGACTCGGACCTAGCGCGGAAAATCGTCTTCGCGTAAGCGGTGTTGGCCCCTTGAGCGGATGTTGTCGGCGTGCCGGCCAAGAACTGGGCCCTTGCTAGCTGATTGCTGATCCTCCTCGACTCGAAGGCGCTTATCGCCTGCTGGCACGAGGGCGTGAGCTGAGCGCAATTCACCGGATAAGAGATCGTCGTCGCGGAATCGTCCGTGCAATTCTCCGTTTCTTCACCTCGGCCGTTGGGAGACGCTTCCGATTTCGAGCGATCAACGGCCTCGTTCAACGTCCTCCTCTCGTCGCACGCGACATCGCGGGGGATCGGCCGCTTGTCGGCGACTCGCGCGTCCTCGTCGGGCAGATCGTTGCAGAGATCGAGTTGTCGCCTCGCGTTCACTCTCGACACCGGCGAGGCGTTCTCGGGCGACGGTTTCATGGCTTTCTCCTCGGCCGCCGTGTCCTCGATGATCGTGGACGAGAGCACGTCCGTGCGCGGCGTTTGAAACCTCCATATCGAGCGCGGGCTCAGAACTTTGGCTAGGGACGCTGTTTGCTGGACACCGGCCGATGATTGTTGCTGTTGTTGTTGTTGGTGGTGGTGGTGGTGGTGCTGCTGCTGCTGCTGCTGGCACTGCTGTCGCGATAACTTCAGTTGTTCGGCCGCCGACAGCCTCGCCGGCCCGGTCTTCACGCTTTGCTGGAGGAGAAGCCGTTTGAAGTCGAGGCGAGATGTGGCTGGCGATGCCGGTTGATTGGACGTCTGCGTTACCTGGAACGGAGATCGGAATGTTGGTGCAACGATTGGCAGATGGAGAAATCGAGATTCAATCGGGATTTTCTAATTCGTACGTATATTGGTAGTTGTGCGTAAGTTATATTGGTTCTTCAAGTTGTGATTATTATTCGACAGCTTCTTTTTAGCGAAGTTTAATTATGATCGGTGAATTCGCGATAAATTTATACGATATATTTTTATCGATATTGCGTAAATAGTTCGATGAATAAAAGGTGTATAAATATCCTGTATATTTGAATATTTAATAGTTAATCCTCCGTTAAGTTTGAAAATTTCTACATTTAAAAGGAAAAAAAACATCGAGTTGCAGAGAATTAAGTATTTTCGAATCGAATCACTCACCGTTGGAGATTTCTGCAATTCCGTGCCCCAATCGTTCTTGTTCCCGATCGTCATCTTCACCAACGAGCTTGTCGATCCGTAAGGCGAGAGATTTTCACTTTCGTCCCTTATGTTCAACCTCTTCTTCGATTTGTGGATCGCCGCGAACAATTCCTCGTTGGACATCGTGCTCTTGGTCGGCGAAAGGATCAGATTGGTGGGCGTGCTCCTTCCCGACGAGGTTTGGACGGGGGTGCTCCTACCGGAATTGGGCATCGAGGAGGAGGAGGAGGAATTATTGTTGGCGGTGAGTGCCAGACGTTCGGCAACAGTTGGCATACTGCGGCCGGTAGGCGTCGACGACTTGAAACTGTTACCGTATCCGTGCCCGATCGGTGAAATTGGATTGTACTTTAACGCATCAGCACTAGGAGACTTCGTAACGGGATCACGAACGGGCGAGGACGCGAAGAATCGATACCCAAGCGCTGTCAGCCCTAATGGTGTTGCGAATCTGGGTGAAGAAAAACAGAGAGAATCATATCGTGCTTTCGTCGAGGAATCGACGAAACGTTGGATGAAAAAAATTATTTGTTATCGATTTGTTATTTGATTTCTTTCCTCTTTTTTTTTTCGATCGATTAAAGGAGAAGATGATATAGGAGATAGAAATTTAATTTGAATAAAAAGTATAAAAGTACGAATGCAATGATATAAAACGGAATGGACAAGATAAAAATTTCAAAATTCGTGGAGAACAAATTTTAAACGATTGCAAAGTAGTTAAAAGCTCACCTATTTCTGATATCCACAATCGACGAATGCTCGTGATTCTGCATCAACCTGTTCTCCGCCTCCGAGTTCCTCTTGTTCAACTCCGCCTGCGAGCCGTACCGATTAGAATCCTGCTCCATCATGGCCCTGTGCCCGTGCCTCGCGAGCACGTGCATCGTGCCGAGGGAGCCCCCTCGTCCAAGACCCCTCGTGATATCCGGCGTGACGCTACGAGGCGGCTCGACATCCCTCTGCGGCCTTCTCGAGGGTAACGTGTAGAATTGTTGGCTCGAATCCTTTGGAGGCGCGTAGTATTGCTGATTCCTCGCGTTCCTCATGTCCACGATGCGACGGGGGTCGCGAACGCGTTGCAAATCGTTAGCCTGGTCGAACATTAGCTTGTTGTTGGGGTCGTACAGGTTCCGCCTGGGATCGTGAATCTTGGTGACAGGGTTGTTGCCCGATGATTGTCGCCCGCAAGTTTGCTGCTTTTCATTCTGAATCTTGTGGGGGGAGTTGTTGGAGATCTCTTGGATCCTCTCTTTCTTTCGACACTGCTCGGAATTGGGGGGTGAAATGTAAGGCGGCGGTTGGACCAAGCCGTGGGGAGGTACCGAGTCTATCGCCAACAGCGTGTTGTCTGAAACAATGACGGTCGATGATCGCCGATGCTTCTGCTCTGGGATCTCGCGTCTCAATAGATCTTTAATCGTCGCGATAATTTGAAAGAGATTTTTCTCGACAGATTCGATGAGAAGGTTTTTTTGTTTTCTTTTTTCAAGCGCAAAGTGTCGTTGCATTCGTGGAATTTGGAAGCAGGTAAGATTCTATTTTTTTCTTTTTTTTGCAATCTATTTATATTATACAGAAATGTCTCCTCTCGATTATAATAATTGTCGAAGGAAAATAAAGTTTCAAGCGTAAAGAAAAATTTTAATATTTTATGTAATACTTTTTTCTCTACAGAATTTTCCTTCCTATACCATGAATACTAAGACACCCTGTATAAACGAAAATCCGATCGTTTCTCCTACTTGTACAATACTAGGCATTCAACTATCGTATTAATTATTACGTAGACTATTATTATTATTATTGTTTATAAATATCTGAAAAGAATTGCTATTAAGAAATCAATATCATCTTACAGTCTCGTTTTAGTATAGGAATACTATATTTGTTTGTTATTTTGTCATATGTCTTTATCGTCACATCCGATATCGTATCGAAAAAAAAAAATATATATATATATATATATATATTTTTTCAAATAATTCTTTAAACGACTCGAAACTAAAATAAAATAGGAAATCGATTCGTTAGTGGCGTCGTTGTTAGTCAAGTTGAAGCAAAACAAGCACGATACAAAGAGGCTGGGCAAACGCAAGCATGCAACAAAAGCACGATAGCACAGCTCATCGATTAATCACCCGAATCCGATATGGAATGCGGATTTCCACGAATCTCGACCAATTGTTCGAAAAAGAATAAAGCAACGAGATATAATATTCTATTCGAACGGACGAACTACTATTCGACGATAATAACAATGGACATTCCATATCGAACTCGTGTGTACTTTTTCTTCTTTTTTTTTTTAATGGAGTTAAAAACAAAATGTACTCACCGTTACATGAACTATGGTACTACGACATGGTACTACGTGAATTATTAACGAGGGTTGCCACACGCGTGTGAGGTGCATATTTTTTTTTCTCTAAAACTATTGAGTGCATATGTACACAGACTAGTGTGCACGAACAAAGAACATGAAAGGAAATAAAAAAAAAAAAAATGAAAGAGAAGACGTACAATTGGGATAGGTTGGAGTTGAATTGGGGTGACTAAAGTTCGTCCAAAATCAAGTCGTTCAACATGCCAAAAATGGCGTTAATTTTGAAAGTATATTTAAATTGACACGATATATTAATTGAACAGATTCAATTATTCATTTTGTTACACTCGTTTTTAAATTAGAATTCCAGGAAAATAGAATTTTTGATTTTTGATGTTATCCAAAATAAAAGAAAAAAAAAAATTTTTTTTATTTTTCTTTTGAATATACGTTTCAAAATATTATAACAAAATAATGTTATAATCTCATAATCAGGAGATTATTGAAGCTTTGTACGCAAGTGTCGAGATATTTTTTTAAAACTATCAAATCGATTTGATTTAAGAAGCTTTTCGCATATCTAATTAAAATACTTAAGGATATCTAACAAAAGAGATTTGTTCGTGGTCGGTAAAACAAACGGCCTTGAAAAATCGATCGATTTTGAACGAACTATAGTACTACGTATTTACAGTAAGGGTTGGGGACGATATGTGATACGATAATACAGGTGAACAAAAAAAAAAAAAAAAGAACAAATAACAAAATGCAGCCGTGATTTTGCACAAAAAATGGCGTCTATTCACATACATTCGCTCATTAAATTTTAACGACATCGTTCGTCGGTATGTACATTCGAGTGGCAAAATGCGCTTTCTTCGTTCATCGAATACAAAAAAAAAAAGGTGGGGGGAAAGAGAAGAAATATACATATTTATGAATATACAAGTGCACACAAGTAAAAGATGAGCCTTACACGCTAGTAACACATACTATATATACACATATACGATACAAAGTGTGTTGCATGCTCCCCTACCCTAGGTTGTAAGTAGATATCTTTAAATATTAGTCGCAAGCTGGTATAGCGAGAGAGACGTGAAATAATGTGCGTATTTAGTGTATATTTAGTTGTCTGATTGTATTTGATTAAAATGATGCAATCCAATATGAATTTTAAATTAATTCAGAGTACATGTTGCGATCATTGTATTCGACAGTGTTTTTAAAATGTCTATCGTACGATTTGAATCAAATTTATATCGATAGTAAATTTTTAAGAAGAAATCTAAGCATCACGAGGAAGGACAATTCGAATATTTCTTCGAATTCGAGCAAAAGTTGAAAAAGATTGCTCTAGATTTTTTTTTTCAAATTCGAATATATTCGAGATCGTTCCAATTTTTCACAGGAGGAACACATTTCATTTCAAAGGTTAATCCTTAACCAATGTGCTGCGAATCAAATTGCTGCTGCAAATATATTTCTCTCTTTATTTTTCATAAAAGAGAATATATATCCAACGAATAACAAAGTCCAATTGATTTTGTTTACGTATCGTGAAATATCGTGAATTTCTTTTTCTCTTTTTTTCTTTTTTACTGACAGAAAAAGTAAATACTCTATCTTTAAAATTTTTCCAAACAAAAGAATACGATTCCATTGTTTATGCGACATTAAATGCACATCAGCCAAGGGTTAATCCAGGAGACATTTTAGGAACACATCGTAAATACATCGAGTCTCGAATAATGTACTCTGTTCGTCATGTTGATTATGCGGAATTAGACACTGTAACGATGAAATCCCCGTATTCGAAGTTAGTCACTAGAATGTTAGTGCTAAACGCTACTTACAACGAGGGGTGAGCACGCTTTCGGCTAACATGCGACACGGCAAGTCGGGGACACACTTACTGTTCTTCACCACATGCCGAAACGTGAACTCGTTTGCTACAATTCTTTTTTTTTTTTTTTTTCTTTTCTTTCTTTCCGTTTCGTTTCATTTAACTTTACATACTTATGCATCGCGTCGTGCAATTCATCGGTGGACGCTGGTCACACGAGTAAAATTATTATTTAACAGAAGCGTATAAAATATTGTATATTTTGGTATAAACTACGATTACAACGATGACGTTTCCGTGACACGATTAAAACAAAATTTGAATTAATTTTTTGATGAAAGAGAATACAATTTTCTATCTGACAGGTAAAAAATTACTTTTAATTATATGATTATAATTTATAATATTTTTTTCTTCACTTTTTTTTTCTTTTTTTTTTTTTCCAATCATTGTTTGGAATGCAAATTTAAAGTTTTAAAGAGTAAAACTATTCTCAAGAGTTTACTTTTCATTAACGGATACCCGGCATCGAGAATGAAAGTTACTCTCGGCTGGCAATATCCAATTACGAAAAATATTCGTGAGAGCAAATCTCAAGACTTTTTACTCTTCAAATGTATTCCCTTAATCCAATGTATGCTATCTTCGTTCTTCCCGATATCTCAGCAAACAGAAGAAAACGGAAAACAGATAGGAAAAGTTGTTATTTATCGTGTACGGAATTTTATTATTATTGTATTCGAATTCCTATACACGATTTACAAGTAATAATACTCGCTGAACAGGCGATTCTAACCTCTTAAAGCGATCGAATCCATCGTTCACGTGCAACTTTTTTGTAACTCAATACGCTCGGATGTGTAAAAAGAAAAATAGAAAGGTCTCATATGCACACATATGAAGAAGATGTATAGTAACCTAATCTAATCTAGGACAAGATGGGCATAAATTCCAGCTGGTGAACTGCCCGCAAAGTACATGTATATTCCGCTTGATTTCTTACAATTTCTTTTTTTTTTTTCTTTTTTTTTCTTTTTCTTTTCTCTTTGCTTTCCTATTAGGTTACCATCTTTTTGGGGAGTCTTTTTTTTTTTTTTTTTCACTGACCGTTGCTTTCGAACAGATGGCTCTCATTATATAATTGTTAAAAAAATTTTTGAAAAACGTAATAATGGGTATATAATCGAACGACACCTTGGGAACATAGCACCTCTCAAATATTAGACATCGTTTACTTTAATCTTTATTCGTTTATATCTCTAAATTTAATAAATATTAACTATTTACACGATTGGACGGAATATGATATTTAAAGATTCATTTTTATTTTTTAAATCGATATATGGTCGATTGAGAATCATAATAGTTCGATTGATAAAAAAAATGAATGTAATTTAAACCTAAAATAACATTAAAAATATATATATCTTTTTTTAATAATATTTATTTATTACAATTATAAATGGCTTACATTATTATGATTCTCATCTGCCATAGGTATATCTTTATCAATTTATACCAAATCTTAATAATATCATAAGTTTAAAAATAATTGTTAAGATCAATGATACATTTGATTAAAAATTTGCAATATTTCGATTAGTCTCGTTTCAAATCAAATATATTTCAATCGTGGCAATCGTTTAAAAATCGCACTCTTATATATAAATATAATTTCTATTTAACTATATATTTTCTATTTTTTCCCCCCCTCAATTTAATCCTTCTCTATCATAAAATCATATCAATTCTATTCCATCACGAATTCCTCTAGCCACAAATTTTCCGACATTTTAATTACAACCAGTTTTTTTTTTTTTACACAATTCTGATCTTCGTATCATAGGAATACGCAAATTCCAGTTAGATGTTTGTACAAATTATTCATAGATCACTCGACGTGACTCAGCCCAGTACTTATAAATCACGTGCAAGCGAGAAAAGAAGAAGAACACAAGGACGACAGATAAGAGTAATTAATCGCGTATTGCGCTAATTGGAAGTTTGAAAGGGTAATGAAAATTTCCCTTTATTTACAAATACTATACGGCTTGCAACAACATCTTCGCGAACAGCTGTTCTCATTTTTTTACCCCTCCCCTCTCTCTATATATATATCGCGACACGTTTCACTTTTTCAGCAACAGCGATGATTTATGCGAGACGATTATCAAGAACG